AGTTTAAACTGTACCACGGGAAGGGCGGCCTCTACATCTGAAGAGCAGTTTTGAAGAACAACGTCTTCGTCCTCGATTTCGTCCCCGACCTTGGCACTGCAGATACCGACGCCATCGTCAACTTCGCCGATTGGACACATCTCCCGGATCTCGATCCTGACTTCAGCCCGGGAGGTTTCTGGTACTCGCACACCATCCCTGAAGCAGAACGAACACGAGCGTTAGCAACAATTCAACAAACGGCAGTAGCAGAGACAACATCGTCAGCAGCAGAAACATCATCGGCAGCAGCAGGACCAACGACACCAGTCATCGTCGACAAAGCACCACCAACACCCGCACAGCAACTGAACCCGACTCAACGAGAAGTCCACAGAAGCGCCAATGTCGTCGCCAGCTTCTACTCCAACTTCGACGCGTATCAACGCTCACCCGGACATCACGCTCCTGAAGACATCTGGCACGCACGCACAGGACATCCAAGCAATACAATATTAAATAACACAATACGAGCAAGAGTCCTCGACAAAGATTCGCTACTACTACCCGACGGCAGAGAACTTCAACGGGCACGAGGAACTTGCCTCATCTGCCCTGAAGCCGACTTACCCCATCGACCGTTTTCTTCTCACCACAACCCGAGCGCACCTGCATACGCACCACTCGAGAAAGTATACAGCGACATCCTCTTCAATCGAGAACCAGGACAAGTCACCTACAATTACACGATAACCTTCATCGACGCCGCCACTCGATACGTCTGGCATCGAAACCTACCCAGCCGCGATATGGCACTCGCAGCGTTCGCCGCTTGGCTACGGGTAGCAGAGAGGGAGTCAGGAACACAGCTGAAAAGCTTCCAGTCAGACGGAGGAGGAGAATACACCTCTCAGCGCTTCAAGCATTACCTAGCGGAAAGGGGAATCAAGCAACTCCTCTCCCTTCCCTACGCCCATCAGCAGCAAGGTGTTGCAGAAAGAATGAACAGGACTCTGCAGAACAGCATGCGCAAACTGCTACGTGGCATGCGGCTACCCAACTGTCAGTAGATCTGCACTGTGGATGCCCGATTGATCCTGGAGAGGGTTACAGGCACGTTGGCCTGGGGGGTTATGGGCGCACTGACCCGCTACTGAAACAAGCCCTTTTATCCCAATGGTCTAGTGGTTGGGATTCTGACATGGTATCAGAGCGGTCTCGGGTTCGATTCCCGGTGTATGCACATGTAGGTCGTTGCCGCTGTGCTTAGTCCTGGGCCTCCCAGTGTGGGGGGGTGTCAGTAGATCTGCACTGTGGATGCCCGATTGATCCTGGAGAGGGTTACAGGCACGTTGGCCTGGGGGGTTATGGGCGCACTGACCCGCTACTGAAACAAGCCCTTTTATCCCAATGGTCTAGTGGTTGGGATTCTGACACCAACCACCAGTGGCCTGCAGCAATGGACCATGCTATCATGCTGCACAACTTGCTGTCGTCGTCGTCACTCCCGAACAACGCATCACCGCATCTGCTGTGGACAGGAAAGCAGGGCAGCACAAGAATGTTACGAGTTTTCGGATGCATGGTGCAGTACCGACCCCCAGAAGCACGAGCGGGAAGATTTTCACAACGGGCACAGTGGGGACTACACCTCGGCATCGAGAAAAATTACAACGCGTGGAAAATTTTCGATGTCCACTCAAAGGAAACAGTAGCAGCACGTGATGTGATCTTCTACGAGCGACTCACCCTTCAAACGTACCTCGCCAACTTGCACGAGAATCAGGACCCCACTGGTGGCTTTCGTGGTGACCGAGCCTTCGCCTCAGCAGCGGACGAAGCAGACTGGGACGAGCAGAACGTCGACAACGCATTCGAAGAAGCCGGACCTTTCCCGTTCTGCTCCGTCAACGTCCCCATGGACGAAGAAAACCCTCGCGAAAGTGCCAACGCCGCAGTTTTCTATCACTTCGCCGACAACGGTTACGTAACACCTGCGACAGTCAACACAAACGAAGCAGAACGGATAGGGCCAAATTTCATACCCAATCCAGAAGCGGGAGACGAAGCAGCTTATCCCGAGGATCCAACACTCCCCCGATACTCACAGACTGGACTGCAAATCCTCGGCCTCGTCACCGCAGTCCACGGCAACGCACTTCCTAAGGAGCCTGCGACGGTTCAGCAGGCTCTGGGGGGGGGACACAGGGAAAAATGGCGTGAAGCCATGGACAGAGAATTAAAAGCGCTGGAGGAACGTAACACCTGGAAAGTCGTTCCCGTAAGCGTGGCAAGGAACAAGACCATTCTCACCGGGAAATGGGTCTTCTGCATCAAAACGAAAGCAGACGGCACAATCAAGAAGTTCAAAGCACGCTGGGTCGTGCGTGGATTCGACCAAGAGCAGGGACGAGACTTCACCGAGACATTCGCCCCAGTTAGTCGACATACCTCTCTTCGAATTCTTCTCGCCGTTACCGCCATGAAGAAGAAGAAACTGCGACAAATCGATGTCGCCAACGCATTTCTCTACGCACCCGTCGACGCCGAAATCTTCGTCGAACTCCCACACGGTACCCACGGAAACCCCAATCAGGTCTGCCAGCTACTGAAATCGCTCTACGGAATCAAACAAGCCCCGCGGCTGTGGCAACAGCACCTACACACCCGACTCACTCGCATCGGATTCCGCCAACTGCCGCACGACCAAGGAATGTATCGATTCACTAAAGACGCCGATTACATCCTACTGATCGTCTACGTCGACGACCTACTCTACATCGGCTCGACCGACGACATCACCACCTGGTTCGAAGGGGAGCTGCAGAAGGACCTCACGCTCACGGTTTCTTCTACCGTCACCCAGTACCTCGGGCTCAACATCCGCGAAGAAGAAAATGCTATCTACTTAAGCGCCGAGAAATACGCCGACACTATCGCCAAGCGCTTCTCGCTCACACCTACCGCTATCGCCACGCCATACCGCTACACGGCAGGAAGTAACAAAGGAAATTCCGCTCCACTCAAAGCTGCCAAATACGAGACTACCAGAGGAAACTGGGCTGCCTCCTCTTCGCAGCCGTCACCTGCCGCCCGGATCTATCCTACTCCGCAAGCCAACTCGCTACCTACCTCAAGAAACCTGAAGCAGAGCACCTGGCGGAGCTCGATCGCGCACTACACTACTTCGTGAGCACTCCGACGATCGGCCTGACTTACTACAAAAACGAAACTACGACCACGAAACTAATCGGCTACGTCGATGCCGATCAAGACGGCGATTCCGACAATAGGCGCTCTCGCACTGGCTACGTCTATCGTCTCGAGCCTATCGGACCTATCTCCTGGCAGTCGAGCAAGCAGGAACTAATCGCTCTCTCTTCAGCTGAAGCAGAATATATCGCCCTCTGCTCAGCCACCAAGGAAGGACTCTACCTTCGCGAGCTGCTGGAAGAAGCAAAGTTAGCCGAGTTACCCAACTTCACCCTATTCTGCGACAACCAATCTGCAATTCGCATCGCCAACAAAAGCGATACTTCTTCGTGAAAGACGAGATCGAGAAAGGGAAACTCGAATTATCCTACTGTCCCACGTCCGAGATGGCAGCCGATTACTTGACCAAGAAACTCGGAAAACAGAAGTTCGAGTACTGCATGCTGCTGACTGGACAAGGCCACGTCACCATTAGCGACACTCCAGAAGCGAAGGGGAGTGTTGGGAACAATAAGTCTTAAAGCGCCTCTGTCGTGTCGAAACTCAGGACACAAGCGAAGCAGTCCAAATCGAAGCATCGCAAGTCAACCCTCGGAGGTTAGGGTAACCGCCTGGAGGTTACGCGAAGGTAAAAAGTCAGCGACCTTTGACTTGACAAATACAGCGCGACAGCAAGGACACACAACTGACTCGACATTGAGCAGTTGCCCGAGTCGCACTGTATCGAATCGCAACAGCAAAACAGTTTAATTATATCTATTCGTATTCCTTGTACTCTTATATAAAGCCTTGTATTTGCTTGTTTTAATCAACTCACTTTGCCCTCACATACTAGCGCAAGGTGGTTCAAGGACTTTTCATTCAAACGCTTCCGCTATTACAATCCTACTCAGACTTTAACTCTACAAAGATCCTAGGGCATCTCAGCCCAACAACATGGAAAGCAATGGTTCACCAAGCTAGCAAAATAAATGGATAGAATAATTTTTGTCGTGATGATATTATGTGTTTTTTTCTTATTATGAGTCAAAATTCAATCCATAGAATGGTTTTTTCAGTATATAGACAAATGTACACCAATCAGTAAAATAGTACAACTAGACAAGATGAGACACATAACAAAGTAGTGAGTCACTGCTATATGTTATACTACGCTATGAGTTGGGCTGGTCAGTCTGACGCACACATTCGTAGCAGGTGATACTTTACTGAAGCATTTGGGACACGACGGAGATCCCGTCCTGAATTTGGGAGACTATCTGTGGCCACAGACACCTTCAAAGGATGCTGGGGCTCTAGAATGGCACAGGTGAACTCAATGGATCCTTCTGATTCGGGACTTTGCGGATGGTCGCCACGTCAACTGTGACAGCAACATTGACGCATCTCCTACCCTTCAAATCGATGCCTCGATCTCTCCGTCCTTACCTCGCTTTGTTCGCACGGCAGAGCATTAGCGTTGGCGCCACATCAGCTTCAGGTCGTATTCGCAATTCACCTCTCCAGGCTCTAGCTCTTGTAGCTTATAATTCCTTCGACAGATGCGATGATTTCTCAACCCTACCTAACCGCAATCAACGAACTCTTTGAATACGCTACCCTCACAAAGGCAAATTTGAGACACATCCGTTTTTTCTGAACACGTCCTCAAATCCAATTTCCATCACCACTTCATTTTGTGCTGTGAGGGGCATTGTACGGAGTTCGCAAACTACCTCTGTTGTGTCTCTACACCAGGCAGCATCAGCGGTTTGACGGACGGAGGGAGTAAATTCGAGCACTCACAAGGTCATTAGGCTCGTCACGCCATGGCGACAGTGCAATCATCTGGCCTGTCGAGCCTTTTACGGGGAAGCCTCCGCCCGGAGCCACGGGTGAGCACTGATCATAAATTCACTTCTCTTCAGTTCCACTCTTTACTGTCGCGATAAACTTCTGGCTAACTCATTTACATTACCTCGCTCCATAATTATTCCCACGATTTCTACTCCAGATCGCTGTGAAGAGCTCTGCCGGTCCGACTCCGTCGTGCCATAAGAGGCTTGCGGTGTGCAACATTCGCGCTCGAGCCGACGGTAGAAGCAGGTCCGGAAGATTTGCCGCTTCCTCCGCAGCAGCCGCATCCAGCACCTGTAAGAAGAGTTGCTAGTTGAACTCAAAACAAACTCAATGAAACTTCGAACGCGCTTTCAGAGAATACTGTAAGACTACAGGTTTCACAATGAAACCTGTACGCCTTGATTTGCTGTGGTTACATTCGAGTGGTCACCTTTGGTAGCTACTGCGAGGGGCTTGGAAGTTCCTGGTGCAAGTAGTGGGTGAATGCGTTAAACAACGGCGGCACTGTTGATGGATTCGGCGTCAATTCGCGCAAAGGAAGTAGTAGGGCCCTATAGATGCATTCACTCGTCAGTCTGGAGTGGATGTTGTCGAATTAGCATTCACTCGTTCAGCATTTTTCCACTGAGCGTTATCCTCACATACACTGAAACCATCTCTTCCCACTCATCAGTTCAACTCCTCCGTTCTTGCCTCCCGATGAACCCTTCCTCGATCCCAACCTCCTCCCGTACTCACCTCCCGTCGTCCCTTTTCTCGCATCCCCAACCTTTCCTCCCTGGCTTCTGTTCCATTTCCCCCCATCCCCCTCCCCATACCTCTCCTTCCCCTCCCCTCCGCATCCCCCACATCACCCCAGCGCTCATCCCCGCAGCGGCAGCCCTTGCCTCGGACTCGCCCACACCCGATACCGTCGCTACCGTCGCAGATGCGACGGCGGCAGTCGCAGAGGGCGAGGGGCTGGACATCGGATTCAGCTTCAACGACCTAGACCTGGGCCTGGATGCTCCCTCTTCCGCCACCACTGACGCTGCTGCCGATGCTGCTGCCGATGCTGCTGCTGATGTTGCTGCGGATGCAGCAGATGCTGTGTCTGCCGCTGCCAATAGTATCGCAGTGCCGGACGAGGTGCTTGACCTGCCCACCACCACGGCTCTTCCAGACCTGCCCAAGTTCTCGTATCCCACCAGGGATGTCGCCCCTTCTTTTGAGAAACCAGGATTCAGCATGCCCGAATTCAAGAAGCCCGAATTTACCATGCCCGAGTTTAAGAAGCCTGATTTCGAGTTCAGCTTGCCTGAATTTAAGAAGCCCGAGTTTAGCATACCAGACTTCCAGAACCGAGAATTTAGCCTGCCCGAGTTCAAGAAGCCCGAATTTTCGCTGCCCGAATTCAAGAAGCCCGATTTTGCGCTGCCCGATTTCAAGAAGCCCGAGTTTTCCCTACCCGAAAACCTTTCAGACCTGAAGGCGCCTTCCTTCTCCCTGCCCGAATTCGCCAAGCCAGAATTCAAGCTGCCCGACTCGTCCGAGCTCCCTCTCCCTAAAACTGACTTCAAGCTGCCCGACCTCCCCACCCCAGAATTCAACCTGCCCGAGATCCCGCTTCCATCCTTCCCCATCCCGAGCCTCCCCTCGCCCTCGAACCTCCCCGTCCCGAAGCTAACCGTGCCTCGGGCAATTTCCGAGCCTGTGGAGAACGCGGTGGCGGCGGCGACCGCGTCGGTTGCGGACTCGGCGGCGGCGGCGGCGGCGGTGGCGCAGCGCGAGTACCTGGCGGCGTACTCGGCGCTGCGCGAGACCGTGCCGGCGGACGCGCTGCCGCTGGTGGAGAAGGTGGAGGCGAACCTCGCTTCGCTGTGGGACGCCGCTAGCGGGCTGACTAAAGAGGTGGCAGTGCAGGTAGGTGAGGTTTTAGCATGGCAGATGAGTGTAGTGCCGGGTGTGGATCAGGGGTTCACGAGCGTGAGTGGCAAGGGTGGCGGTGTGGCGCCCTGCCACCGCTGCCGATGATGGAGAAGGTGGAGGCGAATGTAGCATCGCTGTGGGACGCCGCCAGCGGACTGACTAAAGAAATTGAGGTGCATGTGAGAGTAGTGGGGTTGTGGTTCGGGGAGTGAGGGTGGAGGCGCGCACGTGTGGGTAGTGGCGGGTGTATATCAGCGGGTCGAGCGGCGCCCTGCCATCGCCACTGTGGAGAAGGTGGAGGCGAACCTGGCGTCGCTGTGGGACGCCGCTAGCGGACTCACCAAGGAGGTGGCCGTGCAGGTGAGAGGGAAGGCGGGCAGGTGAGAGTAGTGGCAGGTGTGGGTGGAGAGTCGAGTGGCGCCCTGCCGTTGCCGCTGGTGGAGAAGGTGGAGGCCAATTTCGCGTCCCTGCGGGACCCCGCTACGGGATGTGAGGGCTGGTGAAATGGCCGTGCAGGTGAGAAGAGAGCCAGGTCTAGTCTAGAGCGCCACGCGTGCGAGTGAGAACCGAGGTGTACAGGTGAGGTAGGTGTTTAGGCTCGCTCGCTCCTCCCCCTCCCCTCCTTCCTCTGCCACCCCCTCCCCTCGCTCACTATCTCGCCCCGTCCTCAGGTGGCGGTGCTATCAGCAGCGGCGGTGAGGGCAGCGTTTGGGGCGGCGGGCTTTGATGCGGATGACACTGTCGTGGCCGCCACTCTCATCGCCACCGGCACGCTGCTGCTCGGGTAAGCATGCGGTGCTGAGCGGTGCTGTTCTACCTGTCGTTTCCCTTGATGCCGCTTGATTGATGGTTCATCAAAGGTTCGCCTTGCCTTGGGCGCTCCTCGTCGCTGCTCCCAGTCCCTTATTTCGCTCCTATTCCCAGCTCATCCCACTCGCCCCCTCTCCTCTTGCACCTTCGTCCCTGTGAGAGGACGAGGCACTCATTGCAAGCTGCCCTCTGCCTCCTATCTCTTCCCTCACCCCTCTCCCTCCCCATCCCCATCCCCGCATGGCAGAGTGGCGTATTGGAGGGCGGCGTATGGAGGGTATTCGGGCAACCTGTCAGCAGAGGAGGCACTGGAGGTGCTCAAGGAGAGCAAGGCCGTGCTCGTGGACATCCGCCCTGAGGTCAGATGGATGCCCCGTGCCCCCTGCCCCATGCATACCCCATGCCCCATGCATACCCCATGCTCCATGCCCCTGAGGTTAGAGGGCAAGGAGAGCAGTGCTCGTTGACATCCGCCCCGCCCCAAGGTGAGAGCTATGCCCAGTGCCTCATACCCCATACATTCCCCATGCCCCTTGCCCCTTGCATACCCCATGCCCCACGGCCCATGTCCCATGTCCTATGTCATATGCCCCATGCCCGTGCCCCGTGTCTCGTGTCCCATGCCCCATACCCCATGCCCCACGCCCCATACATGTCCCATGCCCCATACCCCATACATACCTCATGCCCCACACCCCATGCTCCATGTCACATGCCATATGCTCCCCATGCCGCATGCCCCGTGCCCTCGTGTCTTGACGTTCCCCTCCTAGACCCTGCTCGCTCTCACCTCCCGTCTGTCGCCCACGCCTCACCTCCCCCCCTTATTCCCAAACGCCCGCAGTTTCTGAGGGACGAGAATGGCATTCCTGACCTGCGCAGGGGGGCGCGCTTCAAGAGTTTTAGAGTCGACTTATAAATCCCCTCTCCCTCGCACCTCACCTCCCCCATCTCCCCCAACTCCCCCTCTCCCCCCCCCCCTCTGTGCTGCAGTTCCTGAGGGACGAGAACGGCATCCCTGAGGTGCGCTTCAAGTGTTTTTGAGTCGACTCATAAATCCCCACTCCCTCGCGCCCCACGTCCCCCATCTCCCACCAACCCCCCCTTCCCCCCCTCTCTCCCGTGCCTCAGTTCCTGAGGGACGAGAACGGCATCCCTGACCTGCGCAGGGGCGCACGCTTCAAGGACTGCAGCGTCAAGTTCGAAAAGGTGTGCCGCTTGCCCTGCTAGGTGTGGCTCTGTTAGATGCTATAGGGTCTGAGTGGTGGGCTTCCGGCCCTGCTAGACACTGGGGGCTGAACGGTGCGCAACTTATCCTGCTGAGATGCTGAGGGAGGGGTACGGTGGGTGCAGTTTCGTTGGTGCAAGAGTGTGCTGAATGCAGTGATGCATTTGGGACATGAGAGTTCGCAGGGCGTGCCACCCATGTGATGCGAAATAATGCATGCCGCGCACACAAGCGACCACACACACACACACGAACACACACACACACACACACACGCACACGCACACACACACACACACACACGCACGCACACACACACACAGAAACACACACACACACACAGGCACACACACACAGGCACGCCCAAACACTCACTAAAATGTTCCCAGAAGGAACCCAACCACGAGGTAACGCATGGCCTCTCTCCCTCATGCCCAGGCTGGTTGCAGACTGCCATGGTTTCACGACCTCATCCCTTTCCTTGTCATGCTCGCATGCCCTCATCCCTTCTGCTCCTCCCCGTGCTGCTGGGCGGCCCACTGGGGTGCCAGGTGGAAGCCCCAACTTGGTTGATCACCTCTTGATTTGTCGCCCAGTCCCATGGCTTGACATGCCCGCACGCCCTCATCCCTTCTGCTCCTCCCCGTGCTGCTGGGAGGCCCCTGAGCCCAGAGGCGGCTGAGTTGACGCCCAATCCTAATCCCAATCCCATGGCCTGGCCTCTCATGCCCTACGCCCTCCTCCCTTGTGTTCTCCTCCGCGTTTCCTCCTCCTCGCAGCTGGGCGGGCCTCTGAGGGGGCAGGTGCGCAGTCCAGACGTGGTGGACCTGCAGCTCATGGCTGCTAAGATCAAGGGCGTCAGAGGCGTGCAGGTGAGCTCCCTTCTTAAGCACACTTGAATTGATCAAGGCCGTGCGGGGCATGCGAGTGTGCTTTCTTTATCAGCAGATCAATGGCGTTAGGGCGTCTAGGTGAGCTCCCTTCATAAGCACGTCTCATTAAGTGCGTCAAGGGTGTCCAGGTGGGATCCTCTTATAAGCACGTCCCTTTAAAGGCGTTAAGGGCGTGCAGATAAGCTCCTTTTGCGGACACATTTCAACTGGGCGATACACATGCAACTTGTCATGATGGCTAAAATCTGGTCAGCTATCGAAAATGCCCAAGCAGAGTTCTTTAAAAGATTATGCAACCTCTCCATGATAGCGAAATGGTTGGGCAAGTGATAAACCACTGCCCAAGACCTTCACTTTCAAAGTTGAACAGACAACGCGTTTGTGACATTTGACTGTACGATTCCCTTCATCCTTTCTTCTGCTTCCACGTGTTTGTATCGGGTGTGACTGTAAGCAGAAGGACACGCAGGTGATAATAATGGACGAGAGCGGTGGCAACCTGGCAAAGGAGATTGCCAGGGGTCTCTCCAGAGTGGGCTTTAAGGTGCGGATTGGGCAGGGCACGGATCACGTAACCCCCTGCATTGGAGCAATGCCTCTTTGAACGCTGCCCAGGTGCCGTGCTTGCTTGGCGCAATGCGCAGTGCCTTGGATTGCAAATGACACATGCTGGGATGAACCTTATGATTCCTCTGGGGCTCCCGTCACGCATTTCTTCCTCTGGGGCTCCCGTCACGCATTTCTTCCTCTGGGGCTCCCGTCACGCATTTCTTCCTCTGGGGCTCCCGTCACGCATTTCTTCCTCTGGGGCTCCCGTCACGCATTTCTTCCTCTGGGGCTCCCGTCACGCATTTCTTCCTCTGGGGCTCCCGTCACGCATTTCTTCCTCTGGGGCTCCCGTCACGCATTTCTTCCTCTGGGGCTCCCGTCACGCATTTCTTCCTCTGGGGCTCCCGTCACGCATTTCTTCCTCTGGGCCTCCCGTCACGCATTTCTTCCTCTGGGGCTCCCGTCACGCATTTCTTCCTCTGGGGCTCCCGTCACGCATTTCTTCCTCTGGGGCTCCCGTCACGCATTTCTTCCTCTGGGGCTCCCGTCACGCATTTCTTCCTCTGGGGCTCCCGTCACGCATTTCTTCCTCTGGGGCTCCCGTCACGCATTTCTTCCTCTGGGGCTCCCGTCACGCATTTCTTCCTCTGGGGCTCCCGTCACGCATTTCTTCCTCTGGGGCTCCCGTCACGCATTTCTTCCTCTGGGGCTCCCGTCACGCATTTCTTCCTCTGGGGCTCCCGTCACGCATTTCTTCCTCTGGGGCTCCCGTCACGCATTTCTTCCTCTGGGGCTCCCGTCACGCATTTCTTCCTCTGGGGCTCCCGTCACGCATTTCTTCCTCTGGGGCTCCCGTCACGCATTTCTTCCTCTGGGGCTCCCGTCACGCATTTCTTCCTCTGGGGCTCCCGTCACGCATTTCTTCCTCTGGGGCTCCCGTCACGCATTTCTTCCTCTGGGGCTCCCGTCACGCATTTCTTCCTCTGGGGCTCCCGTCACGCATTTCTTCCTCTGGGGCTCCCGTCACGCATTTCTTCCTCTGGGGCTCCCGTCACGCATTTCTTCTCATGGTGCACACTGCATGATGCGCACATGCTCTCGCTCTTGCCCTTGGCCCGGTGCCTGTGAGGCTTTTGACGTGCCTCAAGGGCCTCTCCATTCGCCATCTCGTGTTTCACGCGCCTGTGTGCCTCTGTGTGTCTGCTGCATGCGTGTGTGCATGTGATTTCGTTGCCAGCGCTCTTTTGTGATGGATGGGGGATTTGAATCGTGGGTGGCCAGGCCAGTGACGTTCAAGGCGCGACTCAAATGCCCCTCCCTGTGTGCATCTGTGCCTCTATGTATGTGTCATGTGCCATTCAATGGCAGCGCTCATTCGTGATGGACGGGGGCTTTGACTCGTGGGTGGCGAGCGGGCTGCGAGTGAAGCCCAACGAGCCCGAGCGAGCAGTAGACGTGCTCAAGAAGGTGAGCTCCCCTCCCTCCCTCCCTCCCTCCCTCCCTCCCTCCCTCCCTCCCTCCCTCCCTCCCTTTTGCGAGCAACTGGGAGCTGAATGCATGAGACGTTGCACAATAGTGCGCATGATGTGCAAACAGTGCAGTGTGTGTATCTACATTCATTCATGCCTTGTGCACGCACGCATCTAAGCTGTCAACGCGAGGGAAACGGACTTGGGAACCCCACGTTGCATAGCTGGGGTGGGAGGTGTCATCGCGTAAGACATGGATCGATGGGATGGGATGAGATGGGCCGAAGTCTGACAGATTAGTCTGTTCAGAAAGAGAGGGGTGGGTTGTGCTGGTTGGTGGAGTCAATTGTCTTACAACCAACCATGCTGCCACATACTGTTTCCTCCCCCCGTGTTTGAGCTGCCTCACAGCCGGTTTCTCACATATTTTGTAACATCTGAATTGTGTCACCCTGACATGTGTCACTTATGTGTTGCTCTGCCACGTCGCACCATGGCAGGAGTACGAGGCGTTTGTGGAGGACGTGCAGCCCACGCCCCTTGGAGTGGCCACTGTGGTGCTCGTGAGTGGTCCCTTTCGTTTCCCTTTCCCCTTCCTCCCTTGTGTGCTGCTCGCCACTCCCCCATCCCCTCCCCTCCCTTTTGTGCTGCTCGCCACTCCCCCATCCCCTTGTGCTGCTCACGACTCTCCTCTCCCCTTCCTCCATTCTTGTTCTGCTCATGAGTCTCCCCCCCTTTCTTCTGTTGCCGAGTCATCCCTCGTTTTGCTGCTAAGCCATTCTCCCTCTCCTGGTGTCTCCTTTGAATTACATGCTGTTGCCATGCGCATGCGGAGAAATACGTGTTGGCACCATGCATCATGCACCATGCACCGTGCACCATGCACCATGCACCATGCACCATGCAGCATGCACCATGCACCATGCACCATGCACCATGCGCCATGCACCATGCCCCATGCACCATGCACCATGCGCCATGCCCCTTGCGCCATGTACCGTGCACCATGTACCGTGCAACATGCACCATGCGCCATGCACCATGCACCATGCGCCATGCACCATGCGCCATGCACCATACACCATACACCATGCACCGTGCACCATGCGCCGTGCACCATGCACCATGCGCCATGCACCATGCACCATGCGCCATGCACCATGCACCATGCACCATGCCCCATGCACCATGCGCCATGCCCCTTGCGCCATGTACCGTGCACCATGTACCGTGCACCATGCACCATGCGCCATGCACCATGCCCCATGCACCATGCACCATGCACCATACGCCGTGCAAAATGCGCCTTGCACCATGCACAGTGCACCATGCACCATGCATCATGCCCCATGCACCGTGCACCGTGCACCATGCACCATCCACTGTGACCAATGCACCATTGTTTGCCCTTCTCCTTGTTGCCCTCCCTCCATCCCCACGCCACCTCTCTCTGCAGGGCACCGGAGTCGGCATCTTCGCCCTCATAGGTACGACTTCTTGTTATGGCGCATTCTGCTCTCATACTCTCATGCCCTCATGCTCTCGTGCACTCATGTCCTCATGCTCGCATGCTCTCATGCCCTCATGCTCGCATGCCCTCATGCTCTCATGCCCTCATGCCCTCATGCTCACATGCCCTCATGCTCTCAATGCCCCCATGCCTTCATTCCCTCATGCCCTCATGCTCTCACACGCTCATACTCTTGTGACTGTTACGACTGTGACGTGCTGCACTCGTGCCGCATACTGCAACCATCTCTGCAACAACTATTTAGCGCAGAATCTTTTTTTATTCCCCTCCCCCACACTGGTATATTCTTGAAGCCCACACATTCATCTACTATGGGACAATACCGTCATACCATTTTCTCAAAATTATATCTCTCCAACCCATCCCCACCACTCTCTACCACTCCAACTCCCCTTGCACCCATGTCCCCACCTCCGCACCGCAATGCACCACTACCAGAGTGGGAGCGGTCGCTGCAGCTGCTGGGGGTGCTGGCAGTGGTGCAGCTGATCTACCTGCGCGTCAAGACATATGAGACTGAGGAGGACCTTCAGCGGGACGTGCGGTGAGTGAAGGGAATGCGGTGAGTAAAGTGAATACGGTGTGTGTAGAGGGGACGTGCTGTGAGTGATGGGAGGGAATGTGCTGTGCATGCGTGTTAGGGTATGGTGTGTGTTGTGTGTGTTGGCATTGCTGCAGCTGCTGGGGGTGCTGGCAGTGGTGCAGCTGATTTACCTGCGAGTCAAGACATACGAGACCAAGGAGTACCTTCAGCGGGACGTGCGGTGAGTGAAGGGAGTGGAGGGGACATGTGGTGAGTGTGAGTGGAGGGGACATGTGGCGAGTGTGTGTGGAGGGGACATCAGGGGAGTGTGTTTGGAGTGGACATGTGGTGAGTGTGTGTGGGGTGGACATGTGGTGAGTGGGTGTGGAGTGGACATGTGGTGAGTGTGTGTGGAGGGGACATGTGGTGAGTGTGTGTGGAGGGGACATAACGTGAGTGTGTGTGGAGGGTACATATGAGTGTGTGTGGGGGGGACATGTGGTGGGTGTGTGTGGAGGGGACATGTGAGTGTGTGTCGAGGGGACATGATGTGAGTGTGTGTGGAGGGGACATGTGGTGAGTGTGTGTGGAGGGACATGTGGTGAGTGTGTGTGGAGTGGACATGTGGTGAGTGTGTGTGGAGTGGACATGTGGTGAGTGTGTGTGGAGTGGACATGTGGTGAGTGTGTGTGGAGTGGACATGTGGTGAGTGTGTGTGGAGTGGACATGTGGTGAGTGTGTGTGGAGTGGACATGTGGTGAGTGTGTGTGGAGTGGACATGTGGTAAGTGTGTGTGGAGTGGACATGTGGTGAGTGTGTGTGGAGTGGACATGTGGTGAGTGTGTGGAGTGGACATTTGGTGAGTGTGTGTGGAGTGGACATGTGGTGAGTGTGTGTGGAGTGGACATGTGGTGAGTGTGTGTGGAGTGGACATGTGGTGAGTGTGTGTGGAGTGGACATGTGGTGAGTGTGTGGAGTGGACATTTGGTGAGTGTGTGTGGAGTGGACATGTGGTGAGTGTGTGTGGAGTGGACATGTGGTGAGTGTGTGTGGAGTGGACATGTGGTGAGTGTGTGTGGAGTGGACATGTGGTGAGTGTGTGTGGAGTGGACATGTGGTGAGTGTGTGTGGAGTGGACATGTGATGAGTGTGTGTGGAGTGGACATGTGTGAGGAAGGCTATGTGAGGCAGAGGCAGGCGTGCAAACTGGAATGTACGCATCTTCTTTTCTTTCTTTCTTTTTCCGACAAGCACTGTAACTGCCACAGGAACCTGCCTAGTGTTCAAATCAACACCATCATCAACAACAGCACCTTGAACATCCCCATCCCCATCCACCATTTATTGGTACCTCCATCGTTCCACATTGCCACCATTGTTGCCTTCTCCCTTCTAGTATAATTTGCGGGCTGTTCTAAGCTAAGTTGCAAAATACGCTTATAGCGTATATACGCGTATCGTATATACGCCATACGCGTAAGGGAGCGATTTGGACATACGCTTTTTGGGGCAGGAAAAAAAACTTTCCCGGGCAGGGAAAAAAATCCGCCCGGGCTATTGTAGAGGGGGGGGATCTAAGGGGTTATGTTTCAGAGGTAAGTTTTTCTCCATTCCAAGATAACCACCCTTGACTCGGCCCAAAATCGGGTTAAGATGCAGAGTTCGTAGGCTATAGACTGCAATAGCGTTGCGCGAATCTGCTCTGCTTCGGGCTTGCAATCACAAGGCATGATTGCTAGAGTGTAGGAGGAGGCGTAGGAGAGATCCTGGACAGGGAAACCATCGCCAATGCTGGAATTCGTGCCCCACACCCATCACCAATGTTGCCTCCAACCAATTCCCCCTCCCATCACCTATCTTCACCGCATTGCATCTATCTCATCCAACCAATTTGATATTTGAAATTTGTACAGTCTTCACGTCACTTCCAGTCCAGATCTACAAGATGTTGATATAGGGAGAGTCTTTCCCCCCATCCCTTCTGCGGGAAGAACCTTCTATCTGCGCGGATCTGCAGGGAAGGGAAATTGCCGATCAGCGCGGAAATTGCAGTTCACTCTTGCACAAATCGCGGACGTGAATTTGACGGTGGCAAAATGCTCATCGTGCAATCCCGCATCTTTCCGTATATTCACATTTTTTTCGGTCAGGCTGCCCCAAAAACAATTGGCAAGCGTATAGCGTATTAGCTTGCGTTTAGCGTTTAGAGTGTAAACGCTAGCATATATCCGCTAAACGCACAGTGTCCTGAGCGTATTTTGCAACTTAGGTTCTAAGCCAGACCTTCTCTTCTCATCCTTAGCTCTCTCCACCCACTCTTCCTCGCCCTGTCCCCCCCTTGCTGGGCCCTCTTCTCTCCCTGCGTGCCTTGCAGAGCACTGCTCACGCCCTTCTCTCTCGCAGCATCAGCAGCGGGGTGGGCCCTCGGCACCTCCTCTTCTGCCTCTGCAGCACCCAAGGCCGCCAAGCAGCTCACAGATGGGGAGGGTGAAGGAGGGAGCGAGAGCAAGGCGCCTGACGCTTCCAGTGTGCCTGCTGCTGCTGCTGCCAGCTCAGCTGCTGATGTGGCGATTCAGACTGACAACGGCAGTCTCGCTGTTGCACCTGAGGCAGCTGCACCAGCAGATGCACCTGCAGCAGCAACAGTGTTGGAAGCAGCAGAGGCACCAACAGTGGAGCCATCATCAGCAGTGTTGGAAGCAGCAGCAGAAGCTCCAGCAGCAGCAGCAGCAGAGAGAGCAGAAAGAAGTGATGCCAGTCGTGATGAAGCTGGGAGTGCAACGGTGAGAGAAACGCCAACAGAGAGCAGCGCACCCTCTTCTGATGTGCCTGCCCCTGCCCCTGCCCCTGCTGCTGCTGCTGCTGCTGCAGAGTCAGCTGTTGAGTCACCAGCCACCCCTTCTACCCCAGCAGCGATTGAAGCAGCTGCTGCACCACCCTCGCCCCCCAAGCCCACCCCCAGCACCGCCACCAGCACCCCCACATCGCCTGTTGACAATGCATAGGGGGGGTCAGAGCCAGATTCTTGCTGCCCTGGCTTTTCTCTAACGCTTGTTATGTAGTGTGTTGTGTGTCGCTTGACTTGGCTTGAAGTGAGCACCTGCCCTGTAAGGGGCCAGTACAAACTTAGGCCAGAGGGTATACTTTCCTTCTTTTTGCGTGTTTGTGTGTGTGGTGACATTTTTGCAGCTATGTGCGTGGGGGGTTTGCATGCAGGTTGTTCTGTGTGGTTAGGGTTTGGCTAGACAGCACAAGCATGGACTGTGCTGTTCGATTGCAATATCGTACTATGTTTGACCCACCCAACTGTGCCTTGACAGGAATCCACCTGTTCCATTCAAAAAGCTGATACCGTACATACGGTATGTGGTCCCATAGAACAGTTGACAGGGTGAAAGTGTGAATGATGTGAAAGCTGCTGCTGGATGCAGTGCCTTTGAAGTACCGTACCAATAGAGGGTCCTTAATTTCATTTGTAGGGACCATCTAGGGATAGCAGGTGAGGCCTGAACACATTTAGTTTGTGGATCAAAGGTAGTAGTTTCCCAGACGAGAATCATGCACTGCATTTAATAGAGTCACTTTAAGAATATATACGTTCAAACTACACCGCACCACAACTACCCAGCACTAGATCATATGGTAATAAGGCCAGATATTTTACGCGGGTGAGGTTGCTTTTCCCCGCAATCCAGTCAAATTGTGTCAGTTGCCAGCGCAACTGATACACGCTGGAGTGGAGCATCACTACCATGACGCTGAGTTGCGTCGTTCACCTCGGCTTCAGTTTGCAGTTTCGAGATGTAGACGAATCGATAATGGACATGTGGATGACCTCTTGGATTTGGTATCAGAAAACGCGGTGCGATCACCCCTCTCAATTTCCGACGTTTTGATTCGAGCCGGGGAATTTCAGTGCGGTGCATTCGGAGACCCTGATTGGTCAAATGCAAAACGATCACTCCACCACCACACACACACATTCGGGAGAACCAGTCCTGGCGCGTTTTCGAGATCATGTGCTCCTATCCCCAACTCTTTGACTGTAACAATCCGACCCGACCCAGGGCGACCAAAATCCAGACCGCGCCAGCTGGCCAGCTCACCCTCATCCTTACAACGCTTTACGCCACGTCCACCACTGTAGGCACGCTGGAGCTCTTGAGGTGCCGGAGCTATCGAGGTGGCATTATCGAGGCATGACGCGGCTCTACGTCAGCACCGATGTCATCGGCGGTCAGACAGATAACCCTCAGGGATTCCATTCCATTCCGTCCAACTCCCCTCCTCCCTCCCGTCCCATCGCTCCCTGCCCTGGACTCCACTGGACTTCTCTTGTCACTTGTCTCACTTCACTGCACCGTTTCCTTCCTCCCTCCCCTCCCTCTCTCACTCACCATGACTCAATCCTTGAGTCAGCTGATGACATAAGAGGTCGAGCTGATGTCAAACGGCCAACAGCTGATGAACACTTTTTGCCCAGGAGTGGTTGTGACGGACTCGGCGTGTGCCTATGGCGGCGTGAATGGTTCTCCCACCATTCGCAGCTTCCACTGACGCGCTGGCGAGCCGCCACGGACCGCTCCTTCGTTGATTCTCGGCCTCAGATCAGAATTCGTAAGGACCAGCACTAACTCACTGATACTTTTCGAATCGGCACTTACACTTGCACATCATTCAACAACCATTGTGATCGATCAGTTTGGCTCATAAATTCGTATGATCATGGCTTCCTTTCCCGTGTTTCCCGTTCTATCTGCGTTAACCAATGATCAAGTTCTCTTCAAGCATTCAGCGATCGTATCATTCCGTGTTCCAATCTGGCGCCTAGTCGAGAATCAGCTTTAGACCGTCGTCCTATTCACGAGGACACGGACTTATCTAATATTGCTAGCACTTTACTATCTTTAGATTTCTTAGCAGCACCTATTATCTCCGCCACTTCTGCGCAGATCTCCTGTTCAGCTCCCTCTCTCGGATCCGCCATGGCGATATCGGCCGCCATTCGCGCTCCCGGCGTTTCCAACCTCACACGGGCCTGCGTCAACTGCGCAAGCAAACGCGGGCCGGGACAGATGGCGTCAGCGTGCGCGTCCGTGACATGCCATCCCAGGTGCACGCTTCGGCTCGCGTCCAATCAGCCGTCGTCTCTCGCCTCACGCAACTCGCTCACTTGCCGGCCGTCCAAGAGACTAATCTTCGGACCTGCTCTGAAGCAATACTACGGCGGCAGGACGCAGCGGAAGCCGCCTCCGTACCCGATATACACAATACTTGCCGACGCAACAGCTTCTACCTCGCTAGAAGACAAACCCGTTACCAGCAAGCAATCCGTCGCCGTCCTCGAATGCGACTGCCACGTGGCGGGCCTGCTGCCAGCTGGACGGCGTCATCATGAGGGCTCAAACGGTCCCAACGGATCAGTCAACGGATCGGCCAGACAGCGGTCAGCCAAGCGCGGGCCGTGCAACGTGTGCGGAACCGGTAAGCCCTTGAAAGCCGTGGCAGTACCGACCGATAAGCCCCAAGGCAGCAGAAGCAACACTAACGGCGGCCTTTGGGGCCTAGCTAATTCCCTAGGCGGTCTGCTGACTCCCGACGCTGATATCAACCTGCTCTCCTCCCCCTCCCTGCTTTTCCCCGCTTCTGGCGGCGTTGTTGGCGGTGCTGACGACGCGCTGTTCTTTACAGAAGACGACGAGGATGAGGAAGAGGAGCGGCTGTACGACGCAGTGAGTCTCAGCAGCAGCATCAGCAGCAGTGGGGACGATGTCAGCAGCGAGGGAGGGTTCAGCCGCGTGAGCAGCACCGGCAGCCTGTCCGGCCTCGACGACCGTGTACGCGTTAAAGTACATCCGGGGCGAGTGGACATCTTTAACGGAGCGGAGCATCTGCGGCTGCGCGCGGACGGGCTGATGGAGCTACGGCGCGTCAAGGACGGTGTGCCTGTTCTCATCACCGCGGGGAGAGTCTCCCTTCCTGACACCTGCCGTGACTATATCGAGTCGTGCGAGATCACCGTGCTGGACGAGTCGATCGGGGCCGTCCAGCTGAAGTGGATCAACGGCTCTGCGCTGCGCGTGGTGGCGGCGAACCCTGCGGGCGTGGAGAAGGGCGATCTGTCGGCGCTGCCGTTCGACCGCGACCACGGCAACCCCGCCTCCGACCCCTCCTGGGCCAAGGTGAGCCTCCGACCCCTCCTGGGCCAAGGTGAGGATCCCACCTCCTGAGACAAGGTTAGACTCTGAGGCAACCATCCCCGGGCGTGCGGATCCGTGCTAGGATTCAGTGTATCCGTCCCTGTTCTAATGTTCCCACCCCATGCGTACCCATCCGTATGCGTGCCCACCCCCACCAACAGAAGCTGGCGTGCGGGTTCGTGTGCGAGTTCAGCGTGGCGCAGCACGCGGAGGAGGAGGCGCGCGGAATGGCGGAGGTGGAGCTGGACATGCGCACCGCGGGGTACTGGTTCGGCGGGGGGCACTACATGCGCCAGCACTGGCCGCTCAACCGCGGCCAGTTCGAGATGGGTCCGTTCTTCCCCTTTGACAACGGGCCAAACGGCACCAACACGCTGCTCGCCCCGCAGTGGATGACCTCACGTGGGCTGCTCGTGCTGGCCAATCCGGACACGCCCTTCCTGCACGTGGGGCTGAACGCGCCCCACGTGGGCCCCCACGACGGCTGGATCCAGCGCTCCTGGGGCACGGGCGTGCAGAACCTGGCGCGGGAGTCGCTGCCTGCGGTGGAGAACGGTACGGGGGACGGCATGCTGCGCCTGCAGGCGCGGGCGAGCTACCGCACGGTGGAGATGCTGCACCCGCTCCGCGACTGGATGCCCGCCATGTGGAAGGAGGAGCAGGACAAAGGTGAGCTTTGTCAGAGTGGCTCGTAGATTGACCTTCCATAGTTAGCTACAGGCAAATCTGGGCAGATCTGGGCAAATCTGGACAAATCTGGGCAAATCTGGACAAATCTGGACAAATCTGGGCAATGGGCCCATCTAGGCAAATCTGGGCAGATCTGGATAAGTTTCTTTGCCCTCTCATCCCCTCACCCCTCACTCCCCCATCCGTCACAACCCCCCCATCACCCCTTCAGACCAGCGCCTGAGTCTCCAGTTCGCCCTGTGCGCCACTGCAAACGTCAAGCAAGCAGCGGAAGCCGCGCTGGAGACCCTCCCGCGCCCGGCGAATCCCCCGCCGAGGGAGATGGTGGATGCACCGATCTGGACGACGTGGGCGCGGTACCACGCCAACGTGACGCAGGCCAAGGTGGAGCAGTTCGCGCATGAGATCGTGGGGCGCGGGCTGTCCCGGTCCGTCATGGAGATTGACGACAAGTGGCAGACCAAGTACGGCGACTTTGACTTCGACCCCGTCAAGTTCCCCAACCCCAAGGTGAGCACCACCGTGCTGCTTGCCTGCTCTTGGTACATTTCGCATTCACCACCTTCTCATCATGCTGCACACGCCTGTAAACCTCTCAACTCCCTCTCAAATCCCCTTGCTCATCTCTGCTTGTTGCTCTGTCTGCCGCTCTGTCCATGAGAGCAGGCTATGGTGGAGATGCTGCACGCGTTGGGCTTTAAGGTGACGCTCTGGATCATGCCCTTCGTGGAGGAAGCTTCCGCCGCCTACCAGGAAGGAGCACCCAAGTAAGTGCCCCTGAGCAATTCACACCTAGCAGCCCCTCTGTTTGAGTACCAAGTTTCATCCATACCATTCTCTTCTGCTGTCGTCCCAACTTCTGTTCTCACACCTCTCTCCGCCGTTGTCCACCCCTCCTGTCGCGCCACAGAGGCTACTTCATCTCATCCAGTGCACCGGCCACCAAGGGGCTCAAGCCGGGCTTCTTCAAGTGGTGGCAGCCCGTGCCAGCAGCGGCCCTCGACGTGACCAACCCCGAGGCCGTGGCCTGGTTCGTGGGGCGCCTCAAGCGCCTGCAAGCAGATTATCTCATCGACGGCTTTAAGTTTGACGCGGGGGAGCCGTGCTTCCTGCCG